GTTCCACTTTATTTTATCACTTGAACAGTAAGTTCTATTAAATATTGTAATGATCTGTTTAAAGAAATAAGGCAGAACACAGTCTGAAAAAGCTATTATTTTCAGCAAAGGATGGGTACTATGAAGAGAATTGATGTTGTAGTAAATATATTAAACATAAATATGGAAGAGACCAGTGATGTATAGCTCAGTTTCTCTGCTATTGCATTAAATATTTGATTTCAAAATCTCTTAAAAAGCATCTACCTGAAGTTGCAAAGCTCTGTGGCATCCTAATGATGCTAAGGTCTGGATATTTTATTAGAATAAATTGTAGTTTAATTCTCTAAAAATCCTATTGAATTCCTTATTTGGCAGGGATGTTATTTAGCTGGTTCAGCCCGATTCCTGTGAACCAGTTATAGGGCATTTGGAAGGTAGCAATTCTGATAGTAATCCTGCATCCAAGGAAATGGCATGGAAAGAAAAACTGGTTGCATTTAAATAGAGTGCAGATCATGTACCTTTGTAAATGGCATGTGCTTAATTAGAATAAAAAGAAAGCAAGACAATCCTGCCAAAGGCACCTGGCAACACGCGCCCTAAAATGCAAGGTCCAGGCCAGCTTTCTGCTGTAGTTTGACCCATTCCTTTCTTGAACAGGAACTGCTTGTTGACTAATGTAGTAGACTATATCTCTGTTTTATGGGATACACCCCCCCTAAAGTGGGGGAGGGGTTTCATTTTACCAATGTTCTTGATCATACTCTTTTACCATTAAAAATATAGGAAAATGTAATCATTTTTGTGATTTTCTGTTGCTATATTATAATATTATATTATTCATAAAATAAATGAAAATTAAACATTGTGTTAAAAACTCTATACCAGAGATAAATAAAGCTAGAATAAAAAAGTGATATATACGTAACTTGAGAACTGTGCAAGCTGCCAAAATGAGACAGGTATGATTATAGAAATAATATGACATTTTTGGGAAAATACAGTGAATCACCCCATGAGAGGAACAGAGTAAAAAAGTTATTTTAGAAAGAGCAGGAATTTCAATTTTTAAATGTACTTTATATACTGTACTGTATGTACTGTATATACTATACAAAAATATACTTTATTCTTGCCTTGTATATAAACACAAGATTGTTGCAAATATAATTCTAATACTGAGCACAATGATTAGCAAATATTCAATTTGATTTCAGGGGCATATTTCTGATACAATGAGACTGATATAAATTCATCCATTATTTTCATGTAGTGATAATTCCTTCTGAACATAGCTGGATATCATAAGGTCTGAGATTTATGACATCTAGAGATCCTGGAAAAGCTCACAGTATTGCAGTATATTCTAATATTTTACTGCCCTAAAGGAATATTCAGAAGAAATACTATAAATGAATATGATAGGCAATCTTGTTGTGACATTCCTCATCAAATATAATTTATAATCCAAATTCTTCACTGAGGGAAGAATTATATTCAGTCAATTCATGTAAGACCCCTTTTCTAAAACTGATATAAACGTTTTGTTGCAAGAGCAGATATTTGCATTCATAGGCAACTGTTTGATTTTTCAAATACATTTGTGGCTTCAGCTCATTGAAGCACATCAATCTACTTCAATATTCCATTAGACAAATACATCATGAAAAGCATTACCATTATTATTTTAAAAGACACTTTAGAAAGCAGAGCTTTAAAACATTTAGGTTTTCACAACAAAATTTATTAGAAGAATAGTGGTTCTGAAAAGTCTAGCATCCAGTGAAAACTACCATACATATTACAGCTGGGAATGTGTTTCCAAAATGACATGGCCAAATACAAGAGGGTTGTTTAACCCTTATACATGCACAATAGAATCAGCATTTTGACATACAATGAAAAGAGAGAGAGAGAGAGAGAGAGAGAACCACATGAATTAAAATTTTATAAGTACTTATCACATATATTAAGACACAGCTTATTAAGTCCAGTCAAAAAATCAGAACTGCATTAAAAATTAAATGTAGTGCAATCAAACCAAAAACCTTAATTTGTGATCATAAGTGCTCTACTACATAAAATGTTGATCATAGCAAGGAACAAAAAAAGTTCAAATCACACAGTACAAAAAATCTGTAAATAAATACAAGCTACAGTACAAGAGAAATATTAACTTATACAATTCCGTCAAACTGTAAACAGTATATTGAAATGAGGTCCATAGATTAAAAAGGGGGTTCCTGCTTTATTTTTCCATGACACTTATACTTTTAGAGGTCTGTAAAAATGCCATTTTCCCATATTTTACATGCAGAGAACTTTCTAAAGTGTAAAAGCATCAAATAATAATACAGAAGCATCATTAGTGTTTAGTTACAGTGAAACTGATGCCAGTACAAGCAGTTGTAGTTATTCTAATATGTTACTCACACCAACTTTAATGTTCACCAACAGACCCATTATTAGAGCTGTGAAATCCCAATTCAGTCATTATCAATGTACGGCAACTAGAGGTGAAACACCTGAAAAGGGCTACAATTTGGAAATGATCATACTGTTTCCACAACATATGTGCTCCTGCTGATTATTTGAAAAATTTACACACTTGCCATATTACATCAACTTTGGCAGAAGGGTTACTAATAAACTCGAGCCCATCTGACCCATTGGCTTCCATCACAGTGGCCAGTGCACAGAATTCCTAGAGACATTGCATAACTAGAATGTAGAGGTCAGACATCCAAGGGCCAGTGCTCAAGCTTAGAAGTACCTAGGATGAAGGAGAAACCACAGCTAGACTGAGAAGCTGCCCCTGCTCTATTTACAGAGGCAAGTAGGAATGTATTTGACATTAGCTGTGCTGGCTTGGTAGTGGCATTTTTAAATATTTAAGATTACATATATAATATATATGTATATATCATAATACACATACTATATATAGAAATTTCTTACAATACATAATTATCAGGAACCCCCCCTGCGATCTTGCTCAGTAGTAATAACTGAATATACAGAATGCCACTACGTGTCTGAGGCACTGCGTGCTGGAGAGTAATATGCAGCTTTAAAATCCGTTTGGCTGAGTTATACCTGGATACCTGAACTGAGTTTAAATTGACATTCATCAAGGATGCGCTATTAGCACATTAAAAAAAGCAAAAACAAAAAAAACCCCACGAGTCACTGCTAGGTTTAAGAATAGTGTACAAGTACCTGAATTGAATGAGGGTAGTGTGTAAACTGTCCCTGAGGGTTTTCAAACAGTGTGTGTACAAGCTGGAATCCTAAGCACATTAGTTTAAAACTTACACTGTGGACTGATAAAATACCAACATTTGACGATTGAGTGGAGGTTAGAAAGTTATGAGCAAACACTCAAAACATATTTATACATGTTTAAGCAGTAGTTAGCTACTGTAAACAAAGGTCCCATAGATCGCTACCCCAAATAGGACTCAAGAGAAGTTGCCATCTGTCAGGTTTTTTTCTTTGAGGCTAGGGCACACGACAGCCGCCACGGACCCTCTTTCCAACAACTTAAATATAGGATGCACCTAATTACAGACTAGCAATTCAAGGTTAGATTTTAATGTATTTTCTCTATAACATATTATAAAATCCCTTAAGATCACTAATGCTGGTATGCTACTCTAGTTTGTTTTTTAAAATTCTCCCTTCATTTAAGAAATATACCATTCAACAAGTTAATGGCATAACAAATATATCATCCAACTACTTAAACATTAAGATCCATTTTCAGTCCTCTGATGTAAAAGCTTGTCAGTAAATTTATATTAAAATTTACACGGTAAAAAGGCTTGAATTTCAATCAAAGATTCTAAATACTGCTCATTCCCTGAAGATAAAAAGGAGAAAAATCCCTACCCATTTCCCTAGTGATATATTCTCAAACCAAATTCCACACAATGTTCTACAATTATTCTTCATTTAGGAAACTTAACTTAGCCTCCCACATTTATACCCCAAAATTTAAAGCCCTAAATGGTCTTTAAAATAGTCTATTGAAATGTAAAGTATCAGACATGTATGCCTACAAGTTTCCTGAACATTATATAACTGAGTTATTTATTATCAATAGAAATCATCTGACCTAAAAGCAATAAATCTTTTGTGGACTGAAACTTTTAACAGTACCTTAGACTTGAAGACCAGATAAATTAAGACTAGAGTTGCAATAATAAAAGTGCTGAAGGTCCTTCTCCTGCTTTTCTTTTTGTTGTTTTTAAAAATCTGATTAGACAGGTATATTAATGGACTGTAAAGATTAATAGGTGTTTTTACAAAAACTGTGACGTTCTGGTAAATGTAGCACCAAATGTGAGGTACATTAAAGACTGAGGCGGCACACCCATAACTGCAGAATGGGAGAAGAAATAACTCCATCAATTTTTTATAAACCTGTTACCCTCGGTTAGTTTTTTCTTATTAAGGATTCTTAGAATATGTTGTACTAATATAAGAGAAAGATCTTGGAATTTTAGAAAAATAATTAATGGGAGTGTTATAAGTAGGATGGTAATTTTTTGAAGAAAATATAATGAGTACTTTCAGGACATTATCCAATTAGAATACTTCTGTCCTATCAAGAATGCTACTGATATACAAAAGGTACAAAATCCAGTTATCCATCAGAGAAAGCATGCAATGGCTAATATTTTCTTACTATAGTATCTTGAGTATGGATCTTCTGCCTACATAATATCATCTGCAAATGAAAGGAAGTAAAAGTTTGTCTATTACTTCTGTTTAAATTATAATTGCATAATTCTACATTTAGCAGAAAACCTATTCATTTGTTAAATTTTAACTCATGGCTAGATATTCTATGATGTATTATCTAAAAAATAACCAAAAGATCTATATTCAAGAGCTGCATAATCAACTCTTTTAATTCCATTCCTTTTAGCTCCATAGATCACTTCTGATTTAGTGATGATTCCTGATCAACTTGTTCCACATTCTTTCCTATGAAGAATTATCAAAATTCATAGGATAATTATGATAATATCCAATTATCAAGTAGTCAAATGTAAGGTGTTATAATAATTGATACTGCTACTGCATTGTCCTCTTTTGTGATGGAAAGAAGCTAAAATTTGTTGGTAGGGTGAATGATGGAAAATAATTATCATGTCTCAAGTGAACCAGAATCTCAGCTACTAAACTAATTTCTTTTCATTTCTTAAACTGCTTAGAAACTACCTGTATTTCACAAGTTAATTTGGGAAAGCAATGACCAAATAATTTACCAATTATTCACCTATCATAGTCAGCAATTTTGTCCTATTAAGCAAATACTTCTGTAAAGAGATCCTTACTGTTAAAAGACATGTAAATTATTAACCTGTTGCTTATTTACTGAGAAGTAAAACAGTAAGTGTGGATCGAAACTATATGACTATCTCTACCAAATATAAAATATGAAGAAGCATAGTATTGTTTCTAAACAAAGTCTGACAATAAGTAGACAAATGATTAAAAACACCAAATGCAAGTATCAAAATATGCAGTCAGCAAATTCAAGTTATCAAAAGGAGAGGGAGGGAGAGGGAGAGAACATAATTTTTTTGAAACTACAAGGAAGAAAGCAAAAGAGGTCTTATCTCAATTGTTTACATTACAAACTGTTCTTTTGAAGGCTGCCTAAATCTTTCAGGCAATCTCGTTTCGCACATTAATCTTTCCACCTTTGGACTGAAGGAGATGACTTAAATTTCTAGAGCTCTAGCAAAGTGCTTTGAATAGGAGAAGAGAATGGTAAATGTGCTTCCCCATCTGCCCAAGTGCCATAACTCTTTTCACCTCTAAAAAAACTCACAATATTTATAAGCATTTAATCCAAAATGTATATTGAATTAGAATTGACTAAATATTGTATCTACGTAAAATCAAGTTCCCTCAACTGCCTATACTTGACAATATTCAAAATCAACTATTACAAAGAAAACAGTTCCAAACTGGTCTCCTCTTTAAAAGACAAATTGTATTCTTAAAACAATATTTAGTTATTTAGATTTATTTCAAAACATAGTTAAGAATACATACAACCTAGGCTTTTCTTTAGGCAGATGGGTGCAGCCTTGGAATTCGCAAGAAATATTGATTTATTCTTGGTGCATTTGGAGGGATGCAAGTGTAGGATCTTTAAATGCTTCTAATTAATCAATCTGGGGATTATTTCATTTGGATAATTAAAAGTAAGACTATAGCCCAAATCCTATAACCTGAATTCTTTATAACTACAGTATGGTGAAGAGGCCTGGGGCACTGGAAATGAGGTCCTAAAATAGCTGATAGAGAGGTAATTGTTCATCAGATCTCCAGATTGTTCAGGAAATAACTTTTATATTTTACAGATCCAAGTAAAAAACTGGTACATTTTCTACACACGGGGCTTGTTCCACAGAACTGTACAATAATTAACTCCACACTTGTACCCCTACAACACTAAGCCTTAGTCATCTGTATAACCTGCTGCAGCAAAAGGTCACCAACCAACATCTAAATTCCAATACAATAGAAAACTTGATTTTAAACATTTTTTTACACACACACACATACTCACATTCTCTCTCTCTCTCAAATCCACACACACACAGTCATTAGTCTTCTGGGCTGGGAGTAAAGGGGAGAACTCACCCTTCATATACTGTCTTTAAAAGCAAAGGCTGCCATAAATGATGTTCACAGTTTATTTCTGTTGTGCAGGTGCAAACAACACCATCAACAGATATGCCATATCTCTACAAAAATTCTGGTTCTAGGTTTAACATACATGATAAAAATGCCCCAACTTTCCTCCTACAGACTTAACTTCTGAAACATTGCACTTGGTTATTCCTTAACCTGCCATGGAAATCAGCAAGGAAAACAAGGCAAACATTTCTAGCAAAATTTTGCAAGAATGTCCAGAAATGGGAGGAAACAAAGATTTTCTTAAAAAGACAGTAGCAAACCACATTTTCCCACTTCAACCTATGATCAGTTGGGATTTTGGTCATGCAAATGTCTGTTCAGCAGAATATTGAACATGCTAATGGGTAAACACTGAATCCATTTTTTCTACAGGCGAAATGCTCCCAAATACTACTCAAAGCTACACCAAAGGCGCCTATTAGAGCAGTCTGACTTTAATGGACCACTTAGGGATCTAAAGCAAGATACAGCCACAGGATGAGCCACATTGGAAAAAACAAGTAAGATGAAATCTTATAACAAAAGTTTAACATTAAAAAGGTGCACCTGAATATTACGACTAAGTTTACAAAACCTACAATAAGATAAAATATAGATATATTTATATCTTTTGAATATTCAGCAGCGTTTTGTTTATTTTTGAGAGGCTTCTGAAATTTTAAAAAGGGACAACTAATTTTAAACATGCTTCACAAAACAATAATGGCTATTTTATATTGCAATTACCAAAGTAATGCAATTAGTGCTTTAAAAATAACCTACTTTTTCTTTTCTTTTTAAAAACAGAGACCTTTTGAGGAAATATGGTTGTTCCAAAGCTTCTGGTTTTTTTTTTACCTGAATAGAAAGTGATCACAGATAATAAGTGTTACATTTCAAAGCTTTGTAGATAAGAATCTTACAATCTTCAGGTCCCAGGACTTAAATCTGAGAAAATTGTTTGGTTGTTTAATTCATTTTCTAACCAAAGCAATAAGAATACACAACTATCACTATCTATTTACAGTTCTCAACCTATGGTCTGAAATGACATACAATTAGTTCTCTTCTAAACTGCAGCATTAAAGGGTAGGCACACCATTTTTCTGCTGCACGATTGTCATCCACTTAATGATACAAATTGAAAATATTAAGTAAGCACAATGAGCACACCAAATATAATAACAGATTTTTACGGAACTCAATTCATACATCACTTAAATAAAAACAGTCACAAAAGGTTAAACCTCAGACAGCTAAAGTCTATGCAAGTGTTACACTTCTAGCTTGCAGCAAACCCTCTCCCCACACTTTCAATAGCAGATGAAACCACAAATTCAAAACAGTGCATTTTTATTGCAATCTCCAGTGAAACTGGATTATATTGCAGAGTTTCTATACTACTACAGGGCTTTAAACAGATGTCTGTACTGAGATGGCATATAGGACAGGCTAAGGAACTCTGCTTTTTGAGTATGGAAATACATTAAGCAATTTAAAAAAAGTACATTAACAGTAGTACAAAGCATATATGGGCTAGAAGCCCAATCTCTCTCAAGAATGAGAAGTGCATATTTAACATGACAGCAATGGTGTGCCTAACCTCTGCTTCCCAGCAATCCACTGTATTCAGTCAAGAAATCAAGAAGACCCACAATTAATTGCCCCAAATTCAAGCAGCAGTCTTGGGGTTACTTAGGCCATCTTCCTATGAATCATAGCATCCACTTTCAGTCATCAGGACAAAAACTAACCATGAACAGTGCTTAACGTCGTCTTACATACAAATCCCATTGCCTCTTTTGGTTGTGCAAATTAGAATGGAGTCCTATCAATCTTTTGCACAGCTATGATCAAATTGTCTCTCTACCTGAAGAACCATTAAGTCTAATTCAGTGAAAATGCAGATCCAGAAAGCTTTACTTAAAGCTTAAAATATAAGAATGAAAAGATGTTAACTAAAAAGGCTGAATTGTGGATTAGGAGTGCTTCAGATGATCTACTTATGTGTGTGCTACTCCACTATTAAATCAATAGTGGATAAAACAAAAACAAAATGTCAGGAGATGCAAGAACATTTCCTGTTACTGGCAACTTTAGTATTTAAAAAGGAAACACCCATTGGGTGTTCAACCCTGACAGCTATAGCTCGATAAGATGCTCAGCCTAAACCAGACCAGAATGATCTGATTATAGGTTTTATTAAAATTTGTAAAAATTTCTTCCCTGAACATTATAACATAGATCCTTCATTTATACAACTATTTAGTCAGACTACTGAGGTTGTAATATTTAGAAATTAGTGAATTTACGAAGGTTTTTGTTTGTTTGCCCAAGAATATAGTAAAATGTTATATGTATTTCTGACCCCCAGAAAGGTATGTTTTAACTAATTGTTGGAAACACACAGTCTAGTGAACTCAGGATCAAATCTACAAAAAGCATATTGGTCACAAAAAACCATATTCTTGTTAAAATGAGGAATACCCTAGTGTATCATTCAGTGTACCCTGATTCTCCTAGAATACAAGGAGTTTCTTGAGATAAGGCTACATCCTCAAACAGGCAAGTCTAACCCTCACCTTTATAAAAGAATGAAGAAAATTACAATGAAAATAGTGTTCCAAAGAAATTAACCAAAGCATTTTGCAGGTAGTGTACGTATGTAAAGATTCCCCCCCATCCCATTCCCACCCGCCTCACCAGGTGAGCATTAAGCAGATTGCAAACCATTTAAAAAAACCCTCCCGAATTGAAAACAAAATGGCTCCTATTAGATCCAATGACAAACCAGCCCCAAATCTCTGAATTCCAACAGACCAATTATTATTTTAAAAAATTCTTTCCAACCAACTGGAAATCTAAGTATAATCCAATCATCCACTTTTGTTTTCAAAGTCTGGTATTAAGAGCTCAAGAAAGGGATTATTATTATTATTAAAAGGCCATATGAAAAAAGCAAACCCAGTAAAATAACTGAAAGTCCATGCAGGCTCAAGAGGCAAGCAGTCCACTTCCATGTCTGCATTTTTTGTGAGGTAACTCAATTCTCTATAAAATATTAGAGAAACATGCAAAAGGCCAAAAAACAAAACAAAACAAAACACAAAAAGGCTCTAAGCCATACTGAGCCAGAAAATTTACAAATATGCAACATTCAGAGCACCCTTTTCCCCTGTGCCCTCACAAGTCTCTGCTGAATTGCAATGGAACATGTTCTGCACCCGGTGATTGAAGAGGAGTTAGGTACACACAGCTGGAGTTGAACAATGCCATAGTGCTCACTCAGTTTATTATGTAATTGGCACTCTACAACATCCCTAATCATCTTTTGACTCATTTGCACTGTGTGCTGCCTCTCTCTGGGGATCTATCTCAAGCTTTACAGAGACATCCTGTCCCTCCGAACGCATTAATTTCATTTTTTTCTTTGGAGGGTTTTTCAAAGTGCCCAGCCTCTCTTTCACTTTATACTCCAGGGTGCTGTGGGGAATCCCATAAATACTCTGAGCTTTGGAAACGCTCATTTTCCCATTCATCACCACAGAAATCGCTTCCTCCAATATCTCACTGTTGTATTGTCTGTATCTGCCTCTTTTCTTCCGAGGTTGCTTAGAGCCGGGATCACCCTCCTGATCAGAGGTGGAATATGGCTGTCCAGAGGTAGATTGCTCAGCATCTGAGCCCCAGGAATCTGGTCCAGGATCCAGCAAGCTCCTCCTATTTTGTTTCGGAAGGATAGCCCTTAACTTTTTACTAAGCGCGCTCTCCGTTTGTGAACCCATCACCAAAGAGCTATAGCTATACTGGTCACCAGAACGGGATTCCCATGAAAGGTCCATGCCTCGAACTTGTGGTATCTTTAAATCCACAGGAGTTGAATGGCTCATGTCCTTTTTCCCATCCTGTTTAGTTTGAAGTGCCATTTTTTGAAAAGCAGAGTTTTCTGTAAGAAAAGGAAGGTCACTGATGTTGTGGAGTGCACCATTTCCCCTGAATTTCATTCGGGTAAAGTTGAATTCGTAGTGTGGTTTTGCCCAAGAAGCCTCCCTGGATAATATCATGTGCTGTCCGTGATTCTGCAACCCAGATGGCCCATGGCTGGCAGCGGTAGCATGCTGGTTTCTGCTCAGCAGTTCTTCACTTATCTGCAGTGATCGAGCCAATGGAACTTTGAGAGATGTGGAGTGGCCAGACCCTTCCCTCGTTCCATCCTGCCAGCTTCTTGGGGGTACCCCATCACCACTCCGAAGTCCCTCTGCATGGTGCTGGCTGGGTCTCCCAGGTCGCCTAATTGGATGGAAGGAAACTGATGTGAGCAGGACTTGCACAGGTAGGGAGGAATGGGTGAGGGGCCACTCCTTTATTAGAAGGCCTTGCTTGGGTAACATCACTTTTGTGGTTTTATAATTTTTTTAAAAGTCTCAGCAGTCAGTTTTTTAAAATGTTCAAAAAACAAAGAGAAGCTTTTTGGGCAAAGAAAAATGAAACCTGTCAGCTGGTCTTTGGTTGGGTTCACAAAATCTTGGAGCAGAAAAGACTTCGCGCAAGTGTCTGAAAATAGCATCTTAATTATAGATTAGAAAGGAATAATCATCAGAGTCTATTCACGACTGTATTACTAGTGTGACGTTACCACTAAACAAGTACAGTAATAAAAGAGTAAGCCAAGTGACAAATTGCAGAAAATTCAACACACACTCATACACACCAGCCATCTGCACTTTTTATAAAAAGTGAAAACGATATGGATTCACACTATAAATGCTTGTTGCTGCTGCAGCATCAAAATTGTTCAGCAGAACTCAAATCATTTTTCTCTCCATTAAACACAAAAACAAAAATAATGAAGAGTTCACAAATTTAGTACTAATATCCAGACTTCATTTATTTTTAAAAAATGACATCATGAGTTACAAAACCTTAACCTCATTTTTTCTTTATGTCAAGTCATGAAGAAACAGTTTCTATTTCAAAACTACAGTACTCAGCAGTCTATGCACCTTCCAACTTTACTAATTCAACAGATTAGGAATTAATCTATTTTAATTTTATCCAGTTTAATCAGACTATTAAAAACCCATAAATTATTTACAGTGTATCCTAATAAATAATACCCCAAAACACATGTAACACATTTTTCTTTGTTGTTTCCATTAGGACAATCATAATGCAAGTTTTCCAATTTTACAACTAGAAATATCTGAGAGCACGGAATGGACAAAGAACATATTTAAAAAGTTTTTAGGGATTCTAATCCTTCAGGAATCTCTTTTCAATATTACAATCCAAATTTAACATTTTGTTTTGATAACAGGTGTTATTAATTGTTTCTGAACAAAACAGCCCTATGGTTTATATTTCTGATAAGACATTTAAGGCATGCTGAATATTTCTATTAGTCTGATAACAGTGAACCATTGTCCAGGGAACGTTAATTAAGAAGACAAATGTTCAGTGGCATTAAATTTAACAGTACAAACATAAACATAGACAAACAGTACTGTTTGACACTTAATGCCAACTTCTTTACATGACACAGCAAAATATGCTGATCTTTTGAAGATGATCTTCAACTTTTCATATGGTATGTAATGTTTAAAACAAATTTCAGAAATTTATGCTAATTTGTTCAGAAAATGAACAGATATAGTCAGATATTCCTCTTTAAGAAACTTCAGGAGTTTAGGAGCCTAGAGACCACGGGGCTAAATAAAGAATCCATGTAATGAGCGATTTAAATATTTCATTTTACAATTAAAACCAGTGGCTGCAAACAATGCTATTTTATATAGAAGTCCAACTAATTATAACATATTTACATGGCTAAACTAAGCCTGAAGAAAATATTTTTACGTAGTCTATCCTTACTCTTATATCTACTGTAGCCCTTACAATGCCATTCTGTATCTCTTTACATCTAAATGATTTATATCAACAGAGCAGACATACCTAAGAATTCAGAACCGACAGGATTCTACAAGCTTTTTCGAGAGAAGCCTTTCCCGGTATAGAGTTAGAAGAGTATAGTAAGTGCTTTTATTCAGTATCTTATTTTGAAAACATCCCCAATACAAGTAATTACAAATCTGCCTTTGACCTAATGAATCGTAAGAAACTAGTGCGATGACAATACTATGTTATAATAAAGGTTTATTTCTCCTCTTTGCCTATATCTTTAACAAATTTTGTACAATTCTTCACCCGCTAGTTTGCTTTGGCACCCTTGTCAAAACACTGTGTTCATTAATACTAAGCATTCTTGATTGGTTTGTGTTAAATTACTAAAACTATCAGCTATTAATATTTCAATCTATTAAAAAATGAGACCTGGCTCAGCTATTCAGCCAACCTCATGTGATCTGTTACAGGAGTCTGCAGAGATTTTAGAAGCCTAATAACCCAAACTGACAGAACCATCAACAACATGGTTGTAGATAGCTGCTGAAGATCAAAAGTCTAACCTTCATTTCAGACTCAAAAGAATTGTAGAGTTGAAAGGGACTACAAGAATCACTTCTCTGCAGTGTGCAGTAAAACCAATTAAACCTCCTATGACAGGCGATTTAAGCTCACTGACATGTTTCCTCTCAACAAGTTTTTCGATGACAGATAAACTAAGTTATGTATTGTCTTTGTACCCGGGATAATGTATTATGATAATGGTTGCTACATTCTGTCTTCAATCTATATCACTGTTTTCCACATGAAAACTTTGTAGTAGCCATATTAATTGTGAAAAGCAGAATCCGCTACTCCAAAGATGATAGCAGGAAACTTATCTGAAGATCCTCTAAAAATTGCAACAGGCCCTCTACAAAGTTCATATGTAGGAATAATAGTATCTCTATAAATGATCTATACAGGAAGTTCTTGCCTTAAAACCACAATTAGGACCAGAATTTCTGTTGCTAAGCAAGGCAATTGTTAAATGAGTCATGTCAGATTTTACAACCTAAAAAAGCCATGATTATTAACTGAAATTGCAGTTGTTAAGTAAATCAGATTATTCTTAAGTGAATCATGCAGTTGTTATATTAATCTGGCTTCTGCTATTGATGTTGCTTGTTAGAAGCTATCTGGGAAGGTCGCAAATGGTGATATGTGACCTTATGACAACAATCATTGCCAAGCATCTGAATTTTGGTCACACGATTGGGGGATGCTGCAACAGTCATAAGTCTGAGGATCAGCCATAAGTCTCTTTATTCAGTGCCATTGTAATTTCAAACAGTCATTTGGTAGTAAGTTGACTACTTGTATTTAGGAATGCTGTTACTGCAATAATAACATAAACTTTATAGAATTGCTATGATAATATAAATGTACATAGTTTTTAAATGGAACCTAAGTAATTTATACAGCTTCAAGTCAAAGTTCACACAACTAGTGCTTCACACAATTCTTGGTAGGTTTTTAAGCATAATAATGGCCTAAGTGCTTTTGCATCAAGTCTATGGGTGTTAATCATTGGATATAAATTTAGACTTTAAAAGCTAAAAAAACCAATGTCTATATTCAACAGAAAGACTGATTATTTCCCTTGGATTTATAGTTGAACATTGGAAATAAGAAATTAAATTAATTAATAATCAAAAAATTAAAAACTCAACCTATCACAAGCAGTTGACTTCAATTATACCCCCAAACATTAGGTGTGAGCAAAAATATTAAGAATTTCTCTTACCCATTCCCAGGAGTAGCAGAGCAGCCAGGTGAATGGCTCAAGGAGGCGTTGCCTGCACATGGACTTTTCTTAGTGGACAGATCAAGTACTCCGTCTGTAACAACATGAGTGTAATTTGAGAATGGGAAAGAATGGGAAAACCAAACACATATTTGAAAACCTATTAAGGTCGTAACTTGTTAATCTAGGTTCAATTCAATGACTCTTCCTGACCTTCGCACTAAAGTATCGTAGCACATCAATAAGTATTTTTATTTATATTGTTTGTAACATATGCTAAAGTTTAGCCAAAAAAATCCAAAAGCTAAGTCTTCCAATATTTTTGCTAGCAAAGATGAAAAGCTTTTCAATTAGTATAAATATTTCTAGCCAAAAATGTTAATTGTGCAAGGTCTACATGAGCAGGCTACATCCTAGAAAGATATGGAAAATATTTTGAGATTTTAGACATGGAGATTGGCTAACCATTCTTCCCCATATGATTTTCAATTAAAATTACTTAGAAGCATAGAATCATAGGTTTAAAAGAAACTTGGAGAAGTTCTAGTCCGACTTGCCAAGTGCAGGAATCCTTGGACCATCTTAGACAAATGGCTGTCAAACCAGCAATGGAGCACCCATTTAAAAAAAACGTTTTTGCCCTCCCCGGCTCCCAGAAACACTCTGCAGGCATCCCAAACCCTCTGCAGGCCCCGTTTTTCATGAAAAATGGGGCATGCAGAGGGTTTGGGATGCCCGCAGAGTGTTTCTGGGAGCCGGGGAGGGCAAAAACGTTTTTTTTAAATGGGTGCTCCATTGCTGGTTTGACAGCCATTTGTCTAAGATGGTCCAAGGATTCCTGCACTTGGCAAGTCG